GGATTAAGCCATGGTTTGTTTAATAATGTGTTCACTAAACCATGGGTGACTTGGTTCATACAGTCTGCTCTGTTATAAATAATGAGTTCAAACTCAGAGTAGTTTATCGACCAATCTTATTTATTGATTACAATAAATACTTAGCTAAATGTACAATAGTTTTTTTTTTTTTTATTAAAAGTTTTATAAATTTTACAAGAAAAACAAGAACAATACAGAACAAAAAACAACATATACAGAAGAAAAAAAAAATTAAACAATACATATAAAAAAAAACCCCCACCCCACACCCCTCCCAAAAACCCTCCCTTCCCCCCCCCTGAGCTTCCCAGAGCAGAATATAGGCTTAAGAAATAAAAAAAAAATAAAAATTAAATTAAAAACTTTATATTTATATATACAAAAAAGATATCTATAATATATATAAAAATAAAACTTATGAAAAAGCTATATGATATTTTTGTATACCCAATCTAAATTGTATAAATTTTATCCATTTGTCCCAGATAGCAAAAAACTTCTCTTGCGTTTGTTGCTTTAAGAAAGCCGAAATCTTTGCCATTTCCGCCAGATAAGCTACTTTAAAAAACCATTCCTGCAATGTAGGCAAAGATTCCTTCTTCCAATATTGTCCAACTAACAGCCTCGCGGCTGTGATCAAATTTAACATCAATACAACCTCCTTTGTATCACAATCTGTAACAATACCTAACAAAAATAATTGCGGAGTAAATTTTACCCTCCTTCTAAAAATTCTCTGGATATTCCACCATATTTTGATCCAAAATGCTTTTATCTCTCTGCATGACCACCAAATATGATAATAGGAAGCCTCCTTATAACCACATCTCCAGCATTTAGGTTGCACGTCAGGGTACATGTAAGACATTTTTTGTGGATCAAGGTGCCATCTATAAAACATTTTATAAAAATTCTCCCTTAAATTCTGTGCTTGAGTAAATTTGACATTTCTCACCCAAATAGTTTCCCAGGTGTCCAATGAAACTGGCTCACCAAAGTTCTGCGCCCATCTAATCATACAATCTTTAATTAGTTCCGTTTCTGAGTCCAATTCAACTAAAACCCCATAAATTCTCTTAATGTGGGTTTGTCTTTGATCCTTCAGTTGCTTAATAAGATTTTCATCTTCTCTAAGAAAACCCACCTTACAATCCATCTTCCATCTATCTAGTAGTTGCCTATATTGGAACCAAGAATAAGTAAAATTTTCTTGTGCTAATTCTTCCCGTGATTTTAATTGCCAGTTTTGTCCATCCCATTTAAGTAACTGTCTATAAGACACCATATCCATTTTAACCCCTCTTTTTATTCCTTCTATCGCATGCCAAGGTATAGCCCATAATGGTACTTTAAAATCACTTTTATAATATTTTCTCCAAATCCTAAGTAAAGAAATTCTTAAAATATGAGATTTAAAAGCCCAATCTATTTTTTTATTAAATATTAAATAGGCATGCCACCCATAAAGTAAATCCCATCCCTCTAGATAAAGTATCTCAGAGTTTGTCAAATTTACCCAGTCACTAATTAATGTTAAAACCACCGCATCATAATATAATTTCAAATTTGGTACCTTGAGTCCACCCCTCTCACGGAAGTCTTGCATAATTTTGAACTTAACCCTTGGTTTTTTCCCTGCCCAAATAAATTTATTGAGACCCTTCTGCCACTCATTTAAATTAATCTCATTTTTCAAAATTGGTAACATTTGAAACAAAAAAAGAAACTTGGGTAGAATATTCATTTTTATCACTGCAATTCTTCCCATGAGGGATAATTGCAGCTTTTCCCAATTCTTCAAGTCTTTCTGTACCCCGACCCACAACCTTTCATAATTATTTTTAAATAATTTTGCATTAGAAACAGACAGCATCACCCCCAAATATTTTACCTTATTAACAATCTCAAAACCCGTCGAGTTAACCAAAATCTGCTTCTCCTGACTCGACATATTTTTAGGTAAAATTTTAGTCTTATTTACATTAATCTTAAAACCCGAGACCAAACCATAATGGTGAATCAACTGTAATAAGTTTACTACAGAATAATCAGGTTGCGACAAAGTAACAACCAAGTCATCCGCAAAAGCTCTCAACTTATATTCTTTTTTATTAACATATATTCCTTTAATTTCCTGAGACTCTCGAATTTTGATCAATAATATTTCCAATGTTAAAACAAACAACAATGGCGATAAAGGACACCCCTGTCTAGTACCTTTCTCTATTGTGAAAACCTCCGACAAACCTCCATTAACAATAAGTTGTGCTGTTTGTTTTTGATATATTACCTTAAGGGCTTGTAATATGTTTTCACCAAAATTCATTTCTTCCATTACTCTTAGCATAAAATGCCAATTCAGTTGGTCAAATGCTTTTTCAGCATCTAAAAATATGAGCCCTGCAGGAACTTGGTTGTTCTTATCTAAGTATTCTAATAAATTAATAATTTGTCTAACATTGTTTTTCATATACCTTCCTGTTATAAACCCTGATTGATCTTTATGCACAAGATGATGCACCACCCTCATAAGCCTATTTACCAAAATTTTTACAAATATCTTATAATCCACGTTTAAAAGAGATATAGGCCTATAGTTTTTTGGTAAAGTAAGATCTTGATCCTCCTTTGGAATCAATGATATAAAAGCACTACGCCATGAAGGAGGAATCTCTAAACCCTGTAAGATACCATTAAAAAGATCATTTAATGGTTGGATCATCTCCTCCATTAAGGCTTTATAATAAACAGCTGTTAACCCATCCGTACCCGGTGCTTTCCCTAATTTCAATTGTTGAATTGCTGAGGCAATTTCCTCCTTAGTAATTAAACCATTAATTTCATATTTCTGATCCTCAGTCAGTTTAGGAAAACTTGCCTCAGCTAAATATTTATTTATATCTAACAGTTGTACATTAGTAGATTTGTATAGGTTTTGATAATAATCCAAAAAAGATTTTTTAATTAATTCCTTCTGAGAAACTAGTTTACCCTTATAATTTATTTTCTCTATTATTCTCTGTCTCTGTTTCTTTCTTAATTGATAAGCCAACCATCTCCCCGGCTTATTAGCATTACAAAATGTATTTTGTTTCATAAATAATAAATTGGTTGCAGCTTGATCTGCTATCAACATATTAAATTGTGACCTTAATAACTTTACAGATTCTTTAGTACTTTCATCAGAAGGATTTAGAATCAAAGCCCTTTCTTTTAGTTTAATTTCATCTTCAAGTTCTCTACGTTTCTGAATCTGATTTCGCTTATAAAAATTATTCATTTTTATCAAAACACCGCGCATAAATGCTTTACCTGCATCCCATACCATTGACATTGAAGTCCCCTTGTACATATTCAAAGCAAAATAGTCCTTTAAACACTCCTTTAGTTTTTGAACATTCTTCTCTTGTCTAAACAAATTTTCATTAACTCTCCAGGATCTTCTTTCCTCTTTCTCTTGAATCAACTCCATCCAAACTGGACTATGATCCGTCAGTGATCTAGGAAAAATCTTTACATTCTTTACTTTATTATACAAATCCGTGGTAATCAAGAAAAAGTCAATTCTAATGTACAATAGTTTTAAGATGGGTCCTTTATTATATTTAACAAGTATATTTTGTCTGGAATTCCCTTAGTATATGGAATTGGTCCATGACTTTGTTGATTTCTCAGTCCTACCTAAAGATGTCAAGATTAGACCTGAAGTCATTTTTCACGCAAAGATGCATCCTACAGGAACATATAACCTTTTCCCTCTGAGGAACTCATTACAGAAGTAATAGCGAAAGTCAATATTCTTAGAGAATCATCATTTCCCAAGATTAGATTATCAGCCAGAGTCTTTTTCGCAACAGTACGATTCTGGAATAATCTTCTTAAGGACTCACATCAGGTCATGGAGCTGTTAGCAACATTTATTAAAATTTGTAAAACCAATCTTTTATTCTTAAGGATTCTTCTGCTGTTTCCTGTTGTCATAAGAATGTTTGGCTTTAAGTTTATTGATAAGAGGAATGTTATGCATGACTTGTTTTGTTATTAAATTTTAGAACATGTCTTAGGTCAGCACCAGAGTTCCTCCAAAATGTATGTCCAGTTTGCAGTTTTAATGTGCTAGAAGGGGAAAGGTATAAATATATTTGAGAGTATATATTTATTATATTTAAGTATAATTTAGATTTGCATTTAGTTTTGGCAATGATTCTACTCTCCTTTTAGAAGTTGGCTGCCAATATATTAGTCTAAAGGTATATTTGCCTGTGTCACAGAGGAGATTGCAAACTGCTGTCCTAGACATAGATTCATGTATTAATGGGGTATTAGTAGACAATATTTAATAAAATAACATAGAAACGTCCACAGAAATATATTTATATTTTCTAATGCAATAATGAACAATTCCAAATCTTGTAATAATAAAACCTATGACACCAAGCAGCTCAAGATGGTCTGAAACCTCTAATTACTATTCAAACCCTGCAAGAGAATGAATATTGTTTATTCAGTTGGCTTTAAAACCTCACTTAGGTTGACAATTCTGTAGGGAAGCAGGCTACAGGTCAATGGTGGTGATTATTTTTGCAGTTTTGTTCCTCTTGGGGAACAATGGGTTTCAAGAAACTATTGTGAAGGGGATAAGAGAAGCATTTCAAATGTTGATTTCTGTGTCTGAGACTTCCACTACTGTAATTTTATTGATTTCAACACTGCACTTATTTAACAGTTATATTAACTGAGCTGAACAAACCATGCAGTCTTTGCCAGATTAGTTTCATTTATTGAAAGAACTGTAAATGTAAATTTTCTTCCGTATAAACAGACATCAGTGTAAGTTGCTTTACACTGATGTCTGTTTATACAGAAGAAAATTTCTCAAGGGGAACTCCAAATGGAACTTTAAATTTTAAATAGAGCTTGCAGGCCTTTCTTTGTGGAAAAGTATATCTATGTAAACCTCTATTTTTCAACCCTATCAGATTTTCATCACAGTGAACTGCTTAAGTACAGACTTCTCTTCTCAAAAAGGAGTCAAGGGTCTTCCTTTGATGATTCAGATTGACACATACAGTTACAATAATCGCAGCAATAAACCCATTCATCGGGCCTTCTGCCAAATCAAAGTTTTTTGTGACAAGGTAAGATAATGTATTTCTTAATTATGACATACGGGGAGAGCAAACCTTTTTTTTCCTTTTAGTTAATTATTTTAATTTTCTAGATTGATTTTTATCATCATTTTTGTCTACAAGTCACTTTCATTTTAGCTTTGGTTTTTTTTTTTCATTCTTTCTTTGCTATTGACATTTTCAATGACAGCAGCAAGTGTGGAATTTATTAGGGTTACCATTTTATATTCCAGAATCCTCTAGATGTTCTGTCACTCACAACTCTGAGGGGCAAATGCAAAAAAATGGTTCCGCGTTGATAATGGCAGCCTTTTCCTCACACAATTTTATTTATTTATTATTGACCTAGTTCTGACTCCTGGGTGACAAGTCCCTACAGTTTTCAGAAGTGATTTCAGAAATGGTGTGCCATTCCCTGCTTCCTAAGGTTGAGAGAAAATGACTGGCCCAAGGTCAACCAGCTGGCTTTGTGTTTAGGGAAAGACTAGAACTCATGGTCTCTTAGTTTCTAGTCTGATGCCTTAAATATTGCACCAAACTGGCTCCCAACAACAGTGGAGAGCTGGAAAAAATAAAATATTTGGCTACAGATTTACAATTAAAATTAGCCTTTTTGACCCACTGCTGAAAGTACAATGTCCAGAATTCAGAGCTGGGAGTTATAGGTCTGACTAATTTGGAGTGCACCAAGTTAGAAGTCAGTCAGAGGAACATGTCTAGGATAGTCCTGGAGAACATAGGTAGTCCTTGATTTATGACTACAATTGGGACTAGAACAGGGGTAGGCATGGCTCAGCTTGGAAATCTCTCCCTTTCCCCTCAGCATGGCTGGCTCAGGAATTCTGGGAGTTGAAGTCCACGAGTCATAAAAGAGCCGAAGTTGCCTACCCCTGAACTAAAACTTCCATTGCCAAGCGAAATGTTGTTAAGTGAGTCACGCCCAATTTTTTGACCTTTTTTGCCCTGGTGGTTAAGTGAATCTCTAGGGTTGTTAAGTGAATCGTGCCATTGTTAAGCAAATCTGGCTTCCCTCATTGAATTCACTTGTTGGAAGCCAGCTAGGAAGGTTACAAATGGTGATCATGGGACCCTGGGATGCTGTAATCATTGTAAATACATGCTAGTTGCCAAGCACCCATTTGATTATATGACCATAGGGGGACTGTGAGATTCATAAGCACAAGGATTGATTGCAAGTCACTTTTTTCAGCAGTGACCTACCTTCAAACAGTCAATAAACGATGATTGTTAAATTAAGGACTAACTATAAGTAGGCATTTTATGAAAGCCATTTTAGAATTCCACTGGCAGACAAATGGGAAAGGATTATAATCATAAAACTAAAGTCCTGGAATGGGACATATAAAATTGGATTGATTCCTGATGATTACAGCAAATGGGATGGAATGTGATGAAATCCAAGAAAAAAAAATGGTGAAAACTAGGTAAAGTAGGACAAGCTTCAAAAGGAGATAGCTAAAATCAGGATTCTGGTAGCACATTTTAAGGTTAACACATTTTATTAAAAGGGATAAGTTTAACTCTGTTGCTAAGTAACTATTTTCTTATTATGACCAAAATCACTGGAACCATATACGGAATTATACAAAATTTTCGATGCAAACTTCATTCCATCTCATTCATATGTGTAGGAAATCTAGTTCTGCAACAGTGTTGATTGTTCAGGTGTTACTACTAGAACATTTCTTATAAACAATATATTATCTTACTAGAGGCTTCCCAGTGTGGGTTCCTCCAAACTCTTACTGAAGGTACTATTTATAAGCTGCTTTAGTTTATACATTTAAAAAAAAATCCTACTGCATAGCTTAAAAAAACTATCCACTTATCAGTTTAATAGAATTTTTCAATAGGATTTTAGTAATAATTTATTTCGCAAGACTTTTGGAAGTTTTGTATTCTATTGACATAATAGCATGTTTTCTGAAAGATTGGAGTTCTGCACGATTTCTTTACTCTCCATATTTAGAATAAATAAAACTGCAGATACAAACTGCATAATTTTTATTATTATCTTATGAAACTTAAACCATAAAGCAATCGTATTTTCTTTCCATTTTTTTGGCAAAAAAGGATAAAATGAACTGGCAAGGACAATTTCAAGACACTGATATTTCAATTAAGTCAGATATTTCAATTAAATTATTAATTATATTAAATAGCATTATATTCTGCTGTTTCTTTCATGGAACATTTAGAACAAATTGACATTTAAAAAAGGAATAATACAATTATGAAAAATTAAAAATACAGATTAACCAACCAGTGCAAACTACATTGCAAATGAATAAACAGCTGACATTCTTAAAATTATTTTAGAAATAGTAAAGAGCCAGTGTGGTGCAGCAGTTAAGGCATCAGGCTAGAAATTGGGAGATGGTGAATTCTAGTCCCACTTTAGGCACTAAGAGAGCTGAATGATCTTGGGCCAGTCACTTTCTCTCAGCCCCAGGAAGGAGGAAATAGCAAGCCACTTCTGAAAAACTTTGCCAAGAAAACTGTAGGGACTGTAGACACAACTGAATGGAAAGGAAAGAAATGGTAACAAGGAAATCAGATGACTCTTAGATGATTCTTTACATTGTTGCCAAAAAAGAGGAAGTGTAGCATCCAAACACACGCACACACACAAACACATATACAGAGAGAAATAGTGCACATTTGGACATGTTTATATATGTATAAATTTGCAAATGAAGACATAGGTACTACAATTCAAAGAGAAATACAACTAATTTCAAAAATGGTGAGAAAGTCAGATCAGTTTATGAGTGTGAACCTGCTTGCTCTACTATCTATGTGTTGTGCACTGTGGTGTGACTTTAAATCCTTTGATCTCTCCTTTCTAATAGAGTTTGTTTTTAAACTAAGCTTGGATTGGGAAGCCTTTTAAAAGTAGGTTACCTTGAAACAGAGGATTGTCCTTTCAGAGTAAGATAGTTCTCTGCAAAGCAGGACATCATTTGATCTCCACTAGAGGAATGCTTGTTCATATATTTCTTTATTAGATATTATTTTATCCATTATAATCCCAAGACTCTTGGGACTCCTTGGGGGTGCTCAGAAATTGGAAGATTTTTGATAGCCAAGCTCTTATGAAAAGGCCTGTTGGGATACAATTGGACATTACATCCCAGTCCAGCAATTTTATTCTGCCCACAAAAAGGAAAAAATAATAATAACTAAGATCTGGTTGCTAAGCAATGAGAACTCATAAGATGCAATAGCGGATGGGATGGGGAAAAGACAGAATGGTAGAACTACAAAAGGCTATCCAAGCTATCCCACTAGCTCAGGCTTCACAATGTGTATGTTCTTTGCTTCTGGATTGTCCAACAAATTGAGATGCTATGCAATAAGATATCACAATAAACCATATTTTTGTTTTTAATAAAAAGAGGGTGGGGTAAAATGTTGCAAGCAATGATTCTTAAGGATTGTGTTTTAATGTCTATTTTCTGCGTCAAATATTTGTAGAGATTTAAGGATACAGCTGCCTGGTAAAAGCTCAATAAATACCAAAGCAGTTAACACAGTCTTACTCTTACTATTCTTTCGCTTGCTGGCATTTTTAAAAAAGGAAGGAGGGGTAAAGAGAGAAAAAAAAGAGCTTAAGAGACTAAGATTCATCAAAGGTGACCTATAGATGACAAGAAATAGACCCTTTGAATTATACATATTCATCACTTTGACTATCCTGTTTAATTGATACTTCAGATTTCATGGTTGGGAAGCAGGAAATGAGTGTTGACAGATCTAATCAAAGCTCTCTTAAAAGTGAGAGAAAAGAGCACAAGGGCAGTTAAAAAGTTACTCTTATCAAACCTGGTAGCTCAGGAGGCTTAAAATAGGATGTGTGATCACTCAAACTGAAGCTTGCCCCAGGCTGCAGATTGCCAGAAATTGGGAAAGCTTAGATTCTTTGTTACAAAAGATCTCTCTACGCCTCTGGATTCTGAGGCTGGCTTATTTTATCTTTCTCAAACTGGGTCCCCTCAAGATGTGTTGAAGTACAGTCCTCTTTGGTCATGGCTTGGAATTTTAACCCTATTGCATCCGGGGAGGACTAAGTTGGAAAAGGTAAGTTTATTTCTATACCCTACGTTCCCAGTAACGATCAGTGGAACCATAAATGTCTCTGGGAATGTGGTCCAAAGATAACCATTTATAGCCAAGAGTTTCTTCAAACTGCAGTCCCTGGATTGCAGGCAACGTATTCAAACACTCTTTGAAAGCAAGGAGTAAGGAACCCATCAAAAAAAGCCTCAACTTGTGTATGGTTCGTGCATTTCAGTGCCTCAGAATATTGTTTTCAGATCTATATACTACTAAAACTCTTCTTGTGTTTATAGGTTGTCCTCAACCACAATAGAGTCCAAAATTTCTGCTGCTAAGGGAGACAGTTGTTAAGTGAATCACTGCAGTTGTTAAGTTAGTAACACAATTGTTACGTGAATCTAGCTTTCCCATTGACTTTGCTTGTCAGAAGGTTGCAAAAGGGCGATCACATGACCTCGGGACACGACAACCATGGTAAATAAAAGTCAGTTGACAAGTATCTGAATTTTGATCATGTGGCCATAGGAATGTTGCAAAAGTCGTAAATGTGAAAAATGGTCATAAGTCACTTTTTTCAGTTTCGTTGTAACTTCAAACGGTCACTAAATGAATTGTTGTAAGTCAATGACTACCTCTATCTGCTTGTCTATTTGCACCCTCAAGTTATCCCAAACTCTTTTGGCCATTACTGTGTATTATTCCCTGTTCGTACACTGGATTCTGACTGTCCTACAGCAAATAGAGAGGGATAACTATGAATTAGGAGACATTTCACCACAGATACAAATATTATTTTCTTTGCATCAAATGTTGCGATAATGTATACTGGAAAAAACTCTTCTGGGTTGTCATTTGAAATGTCTCTTAGGCCTTCTGGCACTTGTGGGAGCAGAAGAAGAAGAACTATCAGTAGCTCAAGCTGAGATAGC